ACAGTTCTAGGAAAACCTCCAGTTGGTATAGATCCTTTACATTAGGTGGAAGGGCTCTTTCAAAAGGTTCTTCACACATGTACTTCCCATTTATAAATGTGGTTCTTTAGAGAACTAAACATCAATAATTTGCATACTGTTTTCTTATTTGCATGAGTGCTTCTAAATGTATGTTTTGTTGTGTATATGTGGTAGAACTCAGGTATGGATGTTTATGTGACCATACAACTGTAAATCTTCACTGGCAGTGACTGAAAATGATCATTTTTTATGGTCAGCTGCTTTGCATTTCTTTTAAGTGCAAACATACTTGGCCAATAAAGCTTGATTTTGACCTTCTTCCTCCACTCATGTATCCTCAGCATGGTAACTGACACTACTACTTGCACTGCAAATGTGAAATCTTAGATTAATTGGCCACTTTCAGAAACATAGACACATTAGCTAATTATACAGACCTCTTCAAATGAAGTAAGAAACCTTTTTAAGACAACTAAAAGGTTTTAAAGCTTTCGACTATAAAGCAAAGAATTTTAAGACAGTTTTACTCAGTTAAAGAATTGGACAGAACTTAACTAGCATTCTTAAAAATAAGCAAAGACATCTTGAAGTTTCTTATTTCATAGTGAACAGCTTTAAAACTGTTGCTATGGTATACCAGGTGGTTACTAAGGTGTTGTTTAGCCATTGCTATGGTATATCAGGTGGTTACTACGGTATTTCTAGGCTGTTGCTATGGTATTCCTGGGGGATGCTAAGGTGTTGCTTATGTGTTGCTTAGCCATTATTATGCTATCTAAGGTGGTTACTAAGGGCTGCTTAGCCATTGCTTTGCTATCTCAGGTGGTTACTAAGGTGTTGCTTAGCCATTGCTATGCTATATCATGGAGTTACTATGGTGTTGCTAGGCCGTTGCTATGGTATCCCAGGTGGGTGCTAAGGTGCTCCTTAGCAATTGCAATGCTATCCAAGGTGGTTGCTAAGGTGTTGCTTAGCCATTGGTATGCTATCTCAGGTGGTTGCTACGGTGTTGCTTAGCCATTGGTATGCTATCTCAGATGGTTACTAAGGTATTGCTAGGCTGTTGCTATGGTATCCCAGCTGGTTGCTAAGGTGCTGCTTAGCCATTGCTATGCTGTTACTAAGGTATTGCTAAGCAGTAGCTATGGTATCCCAGGTGGTTGCTAAGGTGTTGCTTATACATTGCTGTGCTATCTCAGGTGGTTGCTAATGTGTTGCTAGGCTGTTGCTTAGCCATTGTTATGCTATCTTAGGTGGTTACTAAGGTGTTGCTTAGCTATTGCTATGCTAGCTAAGGTGGTTACTACGGTATCCCAGGTTACTAAGATGTTGCTAGGCTGTTGCTGTGGTATCCCAGGTAGTTGCTAAGGTGTTGCTTATACACTGCTGTGCTATCTCAGGTGGTTGCTAAGGTGTTGCTAAGGTGTTGCCAGGCTGCTGCTTATCCATTGCTATTCTATCTCAGGTGGTTACTAAGGTGTTGCTTAGCCATTGCTATGCTATCTCAGGTGGTTACTAAGGTGTTGCTTAGCCATTGCTATGCTATCTAAATGTGCCAAACGTTTTCTTTGGGGACTATGTTGCCTCACAACACCCTGCATGCACCCCTCCACCATGAAAGACTTTAGAATTATGTTTTAGGCCAAAACCTTCTCAAAACTATCATGAAACAATGTCTCAGACATTATGCAGCGTATTCAAAATCAGTTCTTGTAATAATTTTCTGTGAGGGAGCTTTTAGGGACATTAAGCCTTCTGGAAAAAAAATAAATAATTATAAAATAGGATCTCTGTCTACATTTAAATCATTTATGCTGTCTTTATAACCAAGACATCCAATTTAATTACTCCCTTTATTGATCATAAATGACTAATAAAAGCACATTCTGCAAACAAGGTCGTTTTTTTTGACAGAATTTTATTCTTGAAATTATTTTATAAAATCATCGCTTTTTCTTCATTTATATATTTCATATATATATTTATATTTATATATATTTATATATTCATTTTCACCAGCAAACATTTTTGCCAATCCTTCCCAAACCAACCCCCTCATTCCTTTCTTCCCTTAAAGGTAAACCTGTGTAATAAACAAAAGACTTCAGACCTTCACAGATGAGTGTGCGATGAAGACGCTCTCTTAAGCTAGTCTAGAAAGAGGGGGACAAAAGAGGAAGAGAAAAGCAGTATAGGAGGATGACAGTGAATAAGGAGTGCAGGGCTTTAAACATACAGAGCATGCCGGGGCCTATTCACACATAACCACTACTTCATCAGCTTTTACATCACCACGCAGACAGAAAGAGAGGATAATGAGGGTGGAGCGTGATAACAAATCTCTGAGAGGTCAATTTTCAGTGGCTCAGTTAATGCTCAAATATACGGAGGGACTGAATGGACAGTGGCTGTAGACCTGCTGGGTACATGGCACTAAGCATTGGTTAATTACATTGTCATTATGGCCTATGGACCAATTGAGTTATCCAGGCTCTGCCCTCAAATGCATTCTTTTGTAGCTACTGTTGCTAAGTTGGACAAGCTTTACAGAACACTGGTAAAAATCTCATACTGTTCATGCTGCAGCTTAATTAGTCTCTTAGTTTTATTGGATGAACAAGTTTCCCCACCACAAAGTACCACTTGAACTCTGTTCGAAGTGGAACAATGAAGCCGGACATATTAAAATTTTCAAAGCAGCATGAACTGGTCAAGTTGTACCTTCAACAATATTTCCACTATAGCGGAGGAACGAAGAAAACAGTCCATTGATGTGAAGTAGTCAAACAACACTGTACAATTATAATAAACGGAAATGGTAGTTACTTTTAAACATGTACAATTAGCCCATATTAATGCTTAATTTATTTCAAAAACCAGTACTGATGGCTGATAAACAACCATTCATATCCTATCCAAGAATGCACATCTGATGAACAAACTCTTCCTCTGCTTACTTAGTCGCTGAGTTGAGTTTCCAGTTTAAAATGCTAGTCCAGCTCAGTGGCTTATGTTGTCGCAATCAAAATATAGTAGGTCAAATATGACAACAAAATAATTGTGCTCTATCCCAACAGTACAACTTTTCACACTCATAAAACAAATGCCATTTGATGTTAGTAACAAAATTTATGCACTGCAGTTTCTCATTAGGTCAAATGAGATTTTCTATAAAGCTTGTCCAACCTCACTGCAGTCGCTCTGAAACAACACACCTGCGAGCGCAACTAGCATCCCTCAATCAGTTGCCGCTGTATCTCAAAGCAGTTTTCTGGACGCAGACTAACATTTGTGAGCTAAATGTATACTAAACGCTAACACTGTAAGGCAGGGGTGTCGCAAAGGGCCAGTGGGGCTGCAGGTTTTCACTCCAAACAAGCTTAAGCATCCCTGATTCTACTTGTTATATCAATTGGTCTTAGTCTTTAAACATTTCATCAGGTGACCTCCTAGTTTGTTGGAGTGAAAACCTGCAGCCACACCAGCCCTCTGCAGACAAGACTGCAGCCCTGCTGTAAGGCATCGGTGCCTGGATATTTTGTCTTAGGGGGCCAAAACGCAACGTTTCAAGTGGGCAGAGGACCAAAAAATAAATTAAGAAGATAGGTATGACAACATTATACTATGTTATGCTGCAATAAAAGCACTTCAAAAAGTACTTTTTAAGAGAAAAAATTAAAATAACCTGTATTTTTTTTCTTTATCATCAGAGAAATAGGCAGAAGGGATGGGATAATTTTCTGCCAGGCCAATTCAGAGGTCTTTGTCTGCCAGCCCTGCTATACAATGTACTAATCTTTGAACTAATCTTAGTAGTGTAAGAATTTGGCAAAAACATGGAAAGTGGTGTGACAATGTACATCATATTTAACCATGACCTACGTTGAATTTAAACCAAATTTCATTATTAGTTTAATTTTATTTTTCATTACCTATCTATCATACTTCATTGGATTGGCAAAGACGCTCCCATAGAGGAACACTGCTTTATTTACTAACCTTACATGTAAATTTCAGCTTGATTTTGTTAGCTGGCTTGCTAGCACTTTACAGAATGCAAAGTCTCAGCACGTTAAGCTGGCTACAAATATTAGGATTTTGCCTGTTGCATTTTGACCAGCTATGTGCAAAGCATTTCTGTGCAGCTTGTTTAATTAGGCCGATGGGAAACAAGCAGCTGTTCTTCAAGCCTTTCAGAGAGTTTTCTTCAAAAACGTAGCTTTTGGGTGGGATATTCTTGTGAGATTGCCAACACATTTGTTTCCCATCAGCTTGTTTTGGTTGTAGTCCCGTTTTGAAAAGAGGCGGTTCTTGGGCAGGTTAAATGACAAAACGCACTAAACTCTCTGATCACAAGCAGAAGTCCAGCTAGTTTGCACAATAAATAGTTGGACAATCAACACAAAACTTAAACAACATCTATGCTGGATTTGAGTACATTGAAAATAACTACACCTTCAGCACTTGTGAATATATTACATTCTATATACTCAAATACTAATTAGAGTTAGTGTTTAGTATATATTGGGAGTATATACTGTAAGCGGAGATTGAGCAGGGATGCTGGAAAATCTTTTTTTTATGCTAAATCTGCGTCCAGAAAACCACACCCAAGTATTTGTTTACTATTTCAGAGAAGGAGAAGCACACATGACTCTCTACACACAAGATGAAATAAATGACTGTATGTAATAGGGTTAAACCCTTAGAAATATTCTTAGATGACTATGGTAGCTGTGCTTGTCAATCTCATTCGAACATATATACCTGGGTTCCTTGGTCATCTGCATGTACAAACACTTCCTAGGGCTATGAGAACAGTTGTGGAAACCAGTCACAGTATTAAACGCTTTGTGCAAGCTTCAACAGTGGTTTAGTTCCGCATCCATGGAAGTTCTGCATGTTAAAATGAACGAAGACTGTTATTTTCCCAAAGATCTGTACATAATAATACCAAACAAGAATTTGAAAGCATCATCTAACAATATAATCCTTCATCATTTTAATATCACGTTAAGTCATTGCACCCATATATATCATCATAGCCCTAACATTTACACACAGCACTGATACATACGATACAGTCCTGGTAAAATGTGCCCTTATTCACCTGGAACCAGCTTTCAGATCATTTAGATTGTGTCTGGTTGTGTCCATTTCCCTGACGAGTTCTTTAGCCCTTGCTTTGTGAAGCTGCTAAACGTCTATTTTCTCACACAAAGCAGGGAGGCTCATTGTAGGATGCAAATTCAGCTGGTAAACAAGTTTGCTCGAAGATGTCTCAAATGTACACTGTTGTAAATGAAGGTGTGCGTATGGCATCTTAGTCATAATCTTGATAGAAGAATAAATACATCCCTTATAAATTTTAGATATCTTTCCAAAGCATTATATTACAGTCTTACATGATTAGTGTTGTATGGTGGAAATATATAGGGAACATCTAGCAGCTCTGAGTAAAAGCTACGCTAGAACATACTTGAGTCCAACTGTGTTCAGCACAGTTTGATTAGATCTGTTATTGATCACAGAACTCACCAAACTGTACTTGGGGGTTGTTTCACAAAGCAGGATTTCTCAGTAAGCTTACCTTTTCTCCAATTGGACAGGCTTCACTTTTAGCTTAGAGGAGGAGAATTCCACCTATTGACTGAGCAATGAAAAGGAACCTTTGTATACTACAGGGGTCAGCAACCTGCAGTCCGGAGCTGCATGCTGCTCTTTTACTGCCCTGTTGCGGCTCCACAGCAGAATTAGATTTTTATGTAAAAATAAAATAATTCTCCTTTGCAGTAAAATAAAGCTCTGCTGATCACTTTAATAATAAATGGTCTTAAACGCTGGAGTTAATGTATAAATGCTAATACACCCTTTACCCCTGAAGGTTGGCGTGCAGAATGCTGGTCATAATAGCAATGCAACAACAATCTCACCGAGCTTGCAGCTAACGAAAAGGCAAAGAGAAAGATTTAGGACGAAACAATGATGATTTGGAGACGAATGAACTTATTTGCATTTACAAGCACTCAGCTGGTTTCCTGATATGTTTAATCTGCAGCGAGAAACTGTCAAACACTAAAGAGTCACAAACCTGAAGTCAGTTTCTCATATGCCTGTTTATTGCTCGAATTTTGCCGTTCCGCCTTAAATGGTGCAGCAGTTACATTCTGGCAGCTCACTTAAGATGGAATGGGAAAATTCAAACAAGAAGCTGGCGAATGAGTAGCTGACTTCAGCCTCGTAAAAAGTCCAGCGTTGAGAGACATTTTACAAGAAATTATTCTACTTCTGAGGAAAAATTTCCTGCCGGAGATGCGAGAAAAGCGGCTATAGCTGAGCTAAAGCTTAAGGCAGAGCCAAGGAAGTCTGTATTTCAATTTATATTTTTTATACTAGTACATTAGCCCATACTGAGACATATTTACAGCAAAGATGGTAAAATGGACATAAAATGTTGTGGCTCCCAAGATGGTTTGATTTTTGTTGAAAGGACTAAATTGAAAGATCCCTCCTACTTCGTCTTCAGGCTGCACTTTGAAACACGTCTGCTCTCTAACAAACATTTATAAAAAACAAAAAACAAAAAAAACAAATAGTTATTACAGCGCAGGTGTGTGGCCCAAGTCCCTCTCCCTTTACTCCGATCGGATGCACCCAGATGTTAAATGAAAGACGATCGAAAGAAGCCGAGAGGTGTTGAAATGATACATGCTGTGCTTGTTTGCTATATGAACTGACTGAAGAATGACCATGGAAAGACAGAAATATTTATTGTTAAGAACTCAAACACCATAAGCATGGTGATGTGTTATTTACTGCCCTATTTCAAGGATTTTGAATGCTATGGTTTAAATTATAAAACATTGTTGTCAAATATTTTTTTAAATATTGAAATTATTACACCCTTAATGCTAACATAGCTAACAATGACAAAGGTATTAATGTATCAATTATTATGATTTAATTTACATAATGATAACTGATGGATATTTGCTTTTACTCATTGTTAGCAATGGTAGTGTTTCTTTTTGACTTGGCTGAGAAATCCTGCTTTGTGAAATGGACTGGACTCTGGCCATCACTTGATAAAACCTCACAAACAACTGACTTCTTGAACGCTAATTCAAAACCAATTGTTGATCAAGCATGTTAAACAAGAAAATGGCATTTCACAACTGTTAATGCAAGTAAACTGTTCAGTGTTTAAAAAAATAATCGGAATATCAGTTACATAGACCATGTGTCAAAGTTGCGGACTGTGCTTCAGAATTTTGGAAGTGGGAAAACTGGGTTGGGCGTAAACGTAACCTAAACAGTCCAAGCAACCAATCACCTGCACAGCTGGACGAACAAAACGATGACGTGCATGTGTGACTGGCATCAACTAGCCTAATGAACATGATTAGCAGTGTCTTACACCCTGATCACATTGTTTTGGGTCAATGCATAGCAACACCCCAGTGAAGCTGATATGCTGTGTGGGGACAAATCCAGCAAAAAGAGATGCGTCCACTAAAGCATCATTAGAAATGTCCACATGGCAGAGTTTAAAGCTTAAAAACATAGACATATAACAAGATACTATTATCTGTTACTAGTTAACCATGTAAGTATATGTAAAATAGATTAACTTCAAGAATCAACTGTACTGTCAAACAAGGCAAACAGATGTGTAGGTTTGTCACACGTCAACATTTTAGTTTACATTTCACAAAGAAAAAATGTAGCCAACTTTGCAATATGCAATATACTAGATATACTTTAAAAATCACCATTAATTATGCAGAAAAAAATAAAAAAACAAAGAATGCACTGCATTGAATACTGCCAGCCAATTGCAGAACAAGCTACACTATAACACAATCAATGTAATCAGGGTGTAAAGATCCCAGCCTGATTTATACCACTTGAAACAGCAGCATTTTGGACGGCCTAATGACCCTTAATGGAGTACCCAATAAAGTATTTCTCATCTGCATGTTCAATCTAGTGTCTTCACTGTAACTACAATTTCTGATGCAAATTCACCACTGAAAAAAAGCCCTCCCTCCCAGAAACCCACCCCACCCTTTGAACAGTCTCACAGATCTATAGAATTATGATTCAAAATATATACTATTGGAATCCAGTGTATTTTTTTTCAGTTGTTCAAGCCCAAAAACGTTCTCTGTAGGTAATTTAGTTCCAGGGAGAGGTCTTTGCACAACAACTGCATGGACAGAGTCCTATACGTTGCATATTTTTTATTTTCCAGTCACTTCCATCAGTCAAGCCTGGATGAGATTTGTTCCAGCTTTTTGGCCTTGTTCGTTTTCTCTCCAATCATAGTAAAGTCAAGGCAGGTTCAAAGAGTGGGAAGAACTGCAAGATCACATGACTGGACGATAGACAGAGAAGAAAAGAGGGCGAAAAACAACCAAAAATAAAGAACCAAAAATAAAGAACCAAAAATTTAGAGTACAGCCTGGATTTCTACAAGGCAGCAAAATGGACCGGAGGAGAGATGACTCTTAGCTCGATGAGGAAGATTGCATTCCGATAGTCGATATGAACATCTGAGAGAGAGAGAGAGAACGTCAAGTCAGTCCGCACTCGACCTCCACAGGCATGCGTGGTAATGCCTATCGATATACCAGGTGAGATATGGTGCTGGATTTGTAGTTGAGCTGGTGGTTGGGCACGAAACTGTGGTGCAGGCTCTTGCGCGTGCACATGTCGCTGGCGTACAGGCTCATGCACGAGTCGCACGACACCTTGGAGCAATTTATGCAGGTGTGAGAAGCCCCTGGCTTGTTGCAGAAGCCGCAGCGGGACCCACTGGAGTTGAGGCGCTCGCCTCCAGTGGGGCTGGGGGCGCTCAGGGTCAAGGGCTTGCTGGGGAACAGCTTGGTGCTGATCATAGGCTTGTCCAGCAGCGGAGAATGAGAGTGGGAATGGGGAAGAGGGTGTGGATGAGGGTGGGGGTGGGTATGAGAGTGTGCAGAGCTGGAATAGACAGAGAGCTTCTCCTTCACGGGCATGTAGCCGTCCAGAGGTCGAGAGGTTTTTGGGTAGTCCTGGAAACCGCAGCATGGTGTCGGCTCCACTGCGTGACAGGACGGACACAGGATCATATCGCATCTCTGGCATGAGGACAGAGTTGGGCAGCCCAATCCACAGCCCTGGCACTTCACCCCATGGCTTTTTATCGCCCAGCCATCCCTCGCTTCACGGCTCGGTGGCCTTGAAGGCGTCTGCCGGCCTCCTAGGCCTCGTTCGGTGTACAGATCGATTTCGTCCAGAGAAGACAGGTGGTAAGGGTAAGGCTCAGAAGGAGGAGACTGAATGGGGAAGAAGTCGGCCACTGGACTGTGCGAAGGCAGAGCTGCAGCAGGATGAAGCGAAGTCCCAGGACGGATGATTTCATCCTTTAGGTCCTCCTCAGTGTCTACAAACAGCGGCTCCTTACGCAGACTCAGTGATGCCTTAAGAATGGGCTTGCTGGCTTGGTGCCAGTGCCCCGCACTATCCGTCACATCCACAGACTTAGACGGGCGGCCACTCCGCCTCAAATGGGCACGCTCGATATCGGCAGGACGCACCGATAAGCGGGTCATGTCTCCGGTAAGGCTGTCCCGCCTGCGGAGGGCGTCGGCACAACCGGCAGCATCTTCCCTGGTGTTCCTTCTCACCTCCACGGCCTCCAGCTCTGAGGCTGTGCCCCTGGACAAAGCCACCACCTCCCCCAGAAGACGGCACTCAGCTTGGGCCAACAGAAGCTCAAAGGCCAGCTGTCGTAAGTGTGCAGAACCACCAGGGTGCTCACGGACGATGTACTGCAGCTCCTGGTCTCGCGAGTACCCCATGGAGCGAAGCAGTGCGCGCAGGTCCGCATCGCAAATTGCAGACTGAAGATGGTACACATATGGCCCAGTGAAGGTCTGTAGAAGCCAGAGAAGAGGTCAGCACTTTATGCTTTACATGTATACAAACAGATATTTTATTCATCCTTAAGGAAATTGCACGGTTAAAGGCAGCAACAGAAAAGGACTATCACAGACATTCATATTAGGGAAAATACTAACAGAACTCAAATTAATTTTTAATGAAATATAAAATGTGCCATTTCATGTATGTATAAGACCAAGATCAATCGCAGACTACTATTAATCAACAGATATATAAACAACAATATACAAAAGAATTCACGCTGTGGAATACCAGACATACCACACTGTGATTATCTTGCTGCACATCCTAATCCTTGCAGTATATTAAAACCAGAATGAGCCATAACTGTGACATGATTAAAGAATGACCTGCATTACTTTGATTAAAGAAATGATGTTTGTTGTATGACGTCAATATCTTGATTGTCCCAAAAACCCACAAACGTCTGTGAGGCCCACAGCACAAAATAAAACATCTAGTGATTTGGTTGAGACCTTATTTACACATTGTAAGACTTGCTGAAATCACTATCAAAGACTGAATTGTGATAAAGCTGAATTTCTCAATCAGCCAGATATTTTAAGCTTAAAACCAAGTCTAACATAGCAGAGATGAGTGACTTTTATACTGGGTAAACTTAATTTATCCAGATTAGTGAGAAATACCAATAAATGTAACAGGTCATCAAATTTCTGTTAACGCTGATCAGCCTTTAGGATAATCCGCATGTACCAAGCTGACATTGATCAGTTTATCTATAATGTAATGATTATGATTTGCTGCAGTTGTAATGAGTTCATATTTGCACTGTACAGACTTACATTTAAAGAACCCCATTCACTCAGCTTTTATAAAATAAGGGTTTCAACTAGTATGTAAACATTGTTAAGGTTTCGAAAAAAAATGCCATTTACTCTTCAGTCTACATATGGAAACTAAGCCTGTTTATGTGACATCAGGGAAAAACAAGGCAAACATTCACCTATTCAGCCGTTTAGCCCTGCACTTACACACTTAAGTTATAAGCAGTGTTTCAGCCTGAAAGCTTCTTGAAGGACGTACAATACTGGAGAGCCAATCAGAACAGAGCTCATTTACATTTAAAGACGAAAAGTAATCATTTTTATAACAAAATCGGATTTTAAGAGCTCAATTTTCAAATTGCAAGAGCTGCAGCTGTCATTATAGAATACATTATCAACAATGTTGTGTTAAATTTTAAATAAGGAAATTGAACCTAATAACACAGAGTTCGTGAACTGCCTGTAGGTAAGCCCAACCAATCAGAAGCAACAAAACACCCATGTTCTGTATGTGACGTCACAACCATCGCAACTAACCGGTAGTCTGATAGTCTGATGCACTCAGCGTTCAAGATTCGTATCAGAAAAAGTGGATTTTCAAGTCATTTTCAAAGCCTGGAAATTCATTTATAGAAAATTATTGCATTTAAATGTTGGTCAGAAAAATCACAATTAAATATTTTCCCCCAAAGTGTTCAGTGCTATTTACATACACTATGTCTAAATGTTTCTGGACACCCCTTCTTATTTGTGAATTCGGCTGCGTTAAGGTATACCCACTGCGAACGCAAGAGTTCCCATGCACACACAGCTTGCACTGACCAATAGAACGGGATGCTCTGGAACAGCCACACATGAGCCTAAGATCATCAGGTCCAGTGCCAAGCGTCAGCTAGAGGGGTACAAAACCCCCCATCAATGGGCTATGAAGCAGTGGAACTGCTTTTTCAGGAGTGATGAAGCTCCATCTAGTGACCTCAGGATGTGCTGGAGAACTGTTTGTGCTCTTGTGGTTGAATGTAAACAAATCCTTACAAAAATATTCCAACATCTAGTGTAAAGCCTTCAAAGACGAGTAGAGGCTGTTACTGCAGCAAAGGGAACAATACCCTTTTTAATTCTCTTGATTTTGGAAGAAGCTTTGTTTGTATAGGTGTCCACAAACTTTTGGCCACAAAAAGTGTATAAAGAAAGGTTGGAAACTGGCCATGAAAAAATAAATTAGGACTGTTTTTATACTGAAAACCACACAAATATTGTTATGCGAAATAAAATATAAAAGTGAAGGATATGAGGCCTTTGCAGGTTTACAATACTAAAACAAATTCACTGTAAAAAAACACAACTTCATTCTATTCTTGCTTACTCTCCCGAACCCTAAGTGTGGTACTGCAAAGTCAGCTACACACAAAGTCATACATATATACAATGTAAAGAGTGGTAACTTATCCCACCTTAATGCAACGGAATTCCTTCTTCCAGGGAAACAGCAGCAGGTTGGTGCACACGGTCTCCAGTGTGGCAAAAGCAGTCTCCAGCGTGCGCAGGTTGGCGCCCCTCAGAGTCCGAAGCGAATTCTCCACAATGTCGTAGAAGCGGATCATGCGAAAACGGTGCCCAGGGTCAGGCTGATACGCCCCCAGCAGGGCTGTTGCCGTGGAAATGAGGGCCTCCTCACTCGTGGTTCCTTGACCTCCACCTCCTCCTCCTCCTCCTATCTCACCCCCGGCTCCTTCTTCGAGCCGCTTTTCCAGGGACGCCACATACCTCCGGAACAGGTCCTCTCGAAGCTTGGCATCCATTTGTGGCAAAGAGCCGCTTTAGGCTGCAAATGTCTCTTTGGTCATTCCCCCAGCCCAGAATCTCCCTCAGGCCATTTCAGGAGCCCTCTGGCCACAAACAGCCAGGCAGACCAGCAGAATGGGTTTTGGGGGCGGGGGTCAGTATCACACAATCATCGTCCAAATATACAACTTGGCAGAGGAGAAGAGGAGAGGAGATATCAAAGCTGTGGCCTGGTTGAGAGCCGCCTCTTGGTTTAATTTCGGATGCAGTTTCGCCTTGTGATCATGTCTGCTCTGGTGGCTATCTCTGGATGCCTCATTAGCCAAAACGCCCTGAAGGCAGCAGATTAAGAAGGGAAGGAGAAGTGGAAAGGCAAAGGGAAAAGGTTGGGGGTGGGCAGAGCAGAAAACAAACGCAAAACTCAGTCTTCACCTTGTACGAGGTTACTCACAGGGTTCGCCACCAGCAGCGAGTTCAAGGTCAGCCTTTGCAGGGGAGGCCGTGTATGGGGACCAACATGTTGTGCGGTGCCAGCTGAAAAGAAAACCAAAAAAATCCAGTTGAATAATGATAAAGGGGCCTTGGAACTTACTCAGAGGCTGCAGCGTAATCAGCGTGGGCTTCACTTCGCTTCAGCCTTTCGCAGCTTTGCCTGCCTGCGGACACAATGCCAAGCTAATAGTGCAGAGTAGGCACACAGACAAGCCAGCACGTACTACTGAGCATGCATCTCCCACCAGCTGATCCAGTATACCACCATGAACCCCTAGCAGCATCCACTGTATACCAGGGTGCGATGGCACACGCCCACCCTCATCCTGACTTCACTCAGCTTGGAATAAAGGCGAGCATTGACCCCTTTTCTCACTTCTATTCACCATGGATTACTAAAGGTGCCATGCAGTGATTGGCACAGTCCTTAGGACACCCATTTCAGGCCTGAGGCATAAAAACCTGACGAAGCATGCACAAGCAAATCTGCAGGATTTGATACAAAACATTTTAACATGATTTTGCTATCAAATAAGGAGGCCCCAGCCAGCTGGAACTGAATGCAGCCGGTTTTCCTGCACACACACACGCCCTTTCCCTGCCTAAATCCATCGCGGTGTTCGTAGCTTAAGTCAGCTTCCTATTCGCCAGCTTCTTGCTCGAATTTTCCCGTTCCACCTTAAATGGTGCAGCAGTTACATTCTGGCGCCTGAGGCAGAATATAACTGCTATAGTGACAGAACGGTAACTGCTGCACTATTTAAGATGGAACGGGAAAATTCGAACAAGAAGCTGGCGTGTAGCACAGCATATCTACTCCTAACGCGGGGGGCATAAATATCACATCCAAAATAACATACAGCTTGCCACAAGACACAACGACAACGTGCCGGTCAGTAAAATACCCCAAAATATCAACGACACAAGCAGAAGCTTGCGTTGACAGCAAGGCTCTCCGCTCTCACTGTAATAAGATGCGCATTGCTGGTAACGTTAAAAGCATTATTATCATCATTTATAAGGTTAAAACACCGCTCTCTGCTCACTTATACACCCTCGCATCGACATTTCTCTTCTGATGAATGTCTGTGGGACATAAAGTGTTGAATCCGCAAAAATATAACCTGCTGGCTCCGTAAATCTCTCAGAATCAGAGACGCCCAGCTCAGCTCAGCCTGGACAGCTAGCCTTAGCCACCGAGCTAACGAAGCTAACCGGCTAACTATCCAGCTACCGAGATGTTTTTCCTCTCAAAACTGCCAACTCACCGCCACTCTAACACCGGCGCTGGGGCCTCGACCCGCCCGTAACATTACCCAAGCCTGTATTTTGTCCTTTACAGGACTGTGCGCTGTAATTTTTTACATTTTCATCAGACGCCACCAGCGCTTACCTACCTTCAACACACTGGAAATCCCCACCAACCGCTCTGCGCATGCGCGACGCCATCGGACTCACACGTGTGAACGAGAAGCAGCGATGAACCGAATCGTGAATCGAGTCATTTGTACAGCTTCTTTTTTTCGTGATCCGATCAGAACCAAATCAGGCACTACGCAATGTTTGTGTCAACACAGGCTAAAAGACTGAAAATAAATGAATAAATAAATAAATAAAATCAAACGAAAAACAGTATGTTCACTTTCATTTTAATAAAATCGTAAGAAAAATAACACTGTAAAATTTTAGAAACAGTCTTGAATTTTAGAAAAGAACAAATTGGCTCTTTTGAACCAGTTCTAAAAAAAACTGAATGCTGAATCGATTCGAGCACCGTGCATAATTTACGTCCAGAAATTAAAATTGAAATATAATATTTTGATAATTCAGCCTGACTAGTCCCAGGTCAGCCAAACCTTTCAATTAATTCTTTAAGCTGATTTACAAGTCTCAAGTGATTTTAATTGATATTGATCGAGAACGGTATGAACTGATATTTTCTCCAACAATTGATCACCTATTGATTTTTTACTTTTATTTTTCGGCTTGTCTGTGTAATGATTATGATGGAAATAATGTCAGTTGACCCACGAAGTGCAAAGTGCCAGCTCTGGCTAAACAGCAAATAAATAATCTTTGTTTCGGGGAACTTTGGCCAAATTGTTGGAACATTGCTGTGAGGATTTGATTGCATTCATCCACAAGGGCATTAGTAAGGTCAGGTACTGATGCTGAATGATTATCTGGATCACATCAGAGAATGCAGTTCCAGTGCTGGGGGGCTTTATATCCCTCTACACATGGTTCTTCAAAAGTTCTTTAGTAAAGGCAATGGTTCTTGATAACACCATGAGTTCTGTATAGAACAATTTACATGCTTATTTTTTTTATATATGTTATAATGGTTCTTTAGATTGATGAAGAATGTGTTTTATATGGTTCTATATAGAACTCTTTTTTTCATATAGCACCACATAAGGTTTTTCTACTGTTACGTTGTCAAGGTTGTATTACAACAGAAGAACCCTTTGTTGGTGTTATATAGAACTATTATCAAAATAGTTCTATATAGAACTGAACACAACACATTCTCCATCAATCCGAAAAAAACATCACCCATGGTGACCTTGTGTGCAGCTGCTCCAGAGCGTCCTATTCGATGATCAGTGCTTTTCTATGGAGAATTTCTGCAACTGAACACCTGTGTCAACATTCGGCCACACTAAGGTCGCCACATTGACCCATTTTGTAAGGTGTCTGGATATTTTTGGACGTATACTGTAGGCCATATACGTAACGACGTATATAGGGATCAAGTGCAGCCTACTGTTGAAAATTGGAACACCACTACAAAATGGCCTGCACACTAGGCTATATAGTGCACTATTTTTGACTCCTTCAGTAATGCATTGTGAACATAGCCCAGTGCTTGTCATGGTGTGGCTGTAAACCCCCTCGTTTTCCTCCTCCTTCTCCTGCAGGTTCACAGCGGTGCTGCACTGTTTAGTCTCAGCGGTAAACGCTTCCAGCTCCGGGACTTTTCAGCAGACTGTAGCCATGCTAGGCGCGTTTAGCCGGGCACAACAGACTGCCAGACCCAGCGGAGGAGACCGGGACATGACGGAGTTCATCTGTCCGGTGTGTCTGGAGATATTTGACTCTCCGATGGTCACGGAGTGCGGACACACGTTAGTATCTGTTCTAAAAGTTCCGTCGCTCTACGCCGCCGTCGTTGTTGCTGTTCGTTCTCTTTTGCTTTGACTTCCGAGTTCTCGGTCTCGGGTTCGGGGGAGGCTGATGTTGAGATATGTAGTGTATTAAAGCAAATGTTTTCATACTAAAGCATTGTGTGTTGTAAGAAATTGGGCCTAAATTTTGAGGAAAGTGTAGCCTAATGATTTACTTTCAGTTTTGTTTTCTTTTAAGCGAGCTATAGTTGCCATGTTGGAACAAGGAATTATGGGAGTTGTAGTAGTTTAAAGAATACAACGCGTTCTTTGATTTGTGACTAAGTTTTTTTTCCGTCTGCTTTCTTTCTTTCTTTCTTTCTTTCTTTCTTTCTTTCTTTCTTTCTTTCTTTCTTTCTTTCGATATATCTACCTGTCAGTTCTTTTCTCTTGCTTTCTTTCATAGTGTTAGGGTCAGTTCTTTCTTTTTTCAGTTTTTTTTTTGTCAGTTTTTTTTTCTTTTCCGTTTCCTTTGTTTTTAATTCATGCACACGTTCTTTCATTTTGCTCTTTCTTTCTTTCTTTCTTTCTTTCTTTCTTTCTTTCTGTTTTAGTGATAATATCAGATTTTTTTATGTATTTTTTGTCAGTTTTTTTTTTAATTTTCTTTGTTTTTATTTCATTCATGTTTCACCTATGTACAACAAAAGGACGACAGTCATCAAATTTCCTCATAAAGATTTAATTTCTAACCATTATTTATGCTCTGAACAGATTCTGCCAGAGGTGCCTTCAGGAGTGCCTGCGGCCTCAGAAGCCAGTGTGCGCCGTATGCAGAGCTGCTCTGGAGAGATGGACAGAAGCGACAGATCTGGAGGCCTTAATCCACACCACAGCCAGACCATGCAAGGGCTGTGGAGAAGAGGTGTGTTTGTGTGGTGAAACTTTTTGTAGTTATTTTCCAAATTCTACATTTTCACTTCCAGTTTTACACATTATTATTTTTTTCTTTGGTCATTCTGTAGTAGTAATGGTCATTCCTGCTAGTGATAATAATGATGATAATAATAATAGTAATAACAATAATGATAATAATAATATTAATAATCCTTATTTATACAGAACATAGCGGCACGGTGGCGCAGTGGGTAGCGCTGTCGCCTCACAGCAAGAATGGCCTGGGTTCGATTCCCGGCCGGGTGACCAGGGTCATTTCTGTGTGGAGTTTGCCTGTTCTCCCCGTGTCTGCGTGGGTTTCCTCCGGGTACTCCGGTTTCCTCCAACAGTCCAAAAACATGCAGTCAGGCCAATTGGACATGCTGAATTGCCCCTAGGTGTGAGTGTGTGTGTGACTGTGTATGTCTGTCTGTCTGCCCTGTGATGGACTGGCGACCTGTCCAGGGTGTATCCTGCCTTTCGCCCAATGACAGCTGGGATAGGCTCCAGCAGGATAAGCGGTTTAGATGATGTATGTATGTATACAGAACATTTGCTTTACTTACAAAGTACCAAAGTGCTTCACACAGTAAGATTAATGTGAATAATATAAAAAAGTAAACTGAATAAATTAAGAGCACAGTTACACATTTTAAGTGCAATATCAACTGTAAACTTTAGTGCTCCAAGACGGAAGCTTAATGTTAACTTTAAGTTAAAGTTAAAGTTTAAGTATAACATCTGGCATAGTTTGTGAAGTACACTTTTGACCGAGAATTGACCGAGACCATGTTCAGGACCTATGACTGACGCGTCACATGCTCAAGGGATCATTAGAAGGGCATTTTGCACAGATGTGCATGCAGTCCATGTTTCAAGCAGCTCATCTCACTCCAGCTTTAACCTGACCAGGGACTGGACCTGACACTAACACTAAGGTTAGCAGTGCAGGCCCTGTGATCATACACACAGTGCTTTTCCATGAAATATTGATTTGAAGATCAGCAAATCTGCCCAAGACGCCTTGAAGTCTGAGCCTCTGAATGACCTCGCTGTGTGTTCAGAGGCACAGAGACTCAGAGATGTGGAAATGGGGTCATTCTCCCAGTTTAATATTAATGCAAGTGACTTCAAAGAGCATTGCAAGAAACCACTGTAAACTAAAGAGTTGTTTACAATTCATTATAACTTAAAGAAGCTAAAGAAAAATGCAACTGAAGTAGTTTATACTGTTACAGATGTTCTGGTGGAGACTAATTAAAATCTTTTTATACAGCTATGGATGAGAGCATAACACTTAATTATACTAGAGTTTAACCACACAGTGGAAGTTAATCAGATTTAAGGATTGTTTTTTCCAAAATGTATTGATGATGTATAGATAATGTAAAGTATTTGATGCTGCATTAACAGTTTCATGTACATTGCAAAACTCTTTTTATGTTCTTCACATCACAAAATTAATATAAGAGCCCTTTAACAAGCATTTTCTGATCATTAGCTACCATTATTATGAATATTATTTTTGTTGTTTTGGTTGTTGTTGGTAGTGTTTAGTAAAATTATGAGTGTTGTGAGTGTAGTTATTGTTGTTGTTTTTGGTCGTGCTGGTATACTGGCTGAAATTCGTTCTCAGGAATGAGTGTTTTCATAACTGTTTCACCAATATGCAACAAATAAATGCAGATATAGCAACAAACAAGCAGTGCAAACCATGTCAGTGCTAACCCCTTAAGCTAAATGTCTAAATGTGTTTTAGTCACATTTCAAAAGGAAATGAAAAAAGGGCTTGGTGTACACTGGGCTGCACTCTCAGGCCTTTTGTGCAAAACAAGCCATGGACCAGCTGGCACTGATGACATGAATGACTGTAATATTGTCCAAATTCTAGCAGCGTCTGACAGTTGGAGACATGAGTGTACAGGACATGCATCAGAGAAATGGCTTGAGAAATTCAGTGATGCTGAAGTTGGCTTCTCATTCAAATTTCCTGTTCCACCTTAAATTCTGGGGCAGGCGCATTCAGTTGCCTGTATAGGTGCTGGAATGTAACTGCTACTCCATTTAAGGTGCAATGGAAAATTCCAACAATAAGCTGGCGAATACAAAGCCGATGTAAGCCTTGTAGAAATAAAGACATGACACAATCGGGCGAGTGTCAGAAAGTAATATTGACATTTGTTTGACTGACATTACCCCACATAACTGTTTATAAATGCTTATTTCAATAGGCATTATCTGTCATAAAGGCTACTTTGGCTAACTTTGTTCAAAAAGGGTAAATGTAACCTTTATAGAAAGTGACACCTATTGGAATAAGCATTTATAAACATTTATGAAGGGTTATGTCAGTTGTCATGACAAGCTTATGTAGGTGTCATGTAGCCTTATGAACAGCACCCTACAGTAAAGTGTTACCATATTTTTTTGCCTATAATCTTTTTTTACCTATATATTGATCCATTTTTGTAAAACTAAAATGAATTGATATATAGGTAAAAAAAAAGGTAAAAATTTCAGAATTCCTTTGGTTCTTATTAAAAAGTGAAGGGACATTCCAGAATAATAAACCACTTTTATCCTACAAAAATAGGTTTACTTAAGCATATTAAATAGTTTTATTTGAAAACACGATATACACTGAAACTGTCAGAAGTTTTAATTATAATGTGATATAAATTTTATTGCTTTACCACCCACTGCTAGTTGATACTACTAATCCTCCTGTAATCATAATCATTATTATTATTATTATTATTATTATTATTATTAACTGAAGTCACCTTTATTTCTATAGCACATTTAAAGGACAAGAAGTGTTGGCCAAAGTGCTGCATGATAATATCAATTAAAATAAGTGCCACTATCAAAAGTAAACAATACATTCAACAAGGAAAATAACATGCATACAAAAACAAACCAAAAAAAAACAATGAAACAAAATAGAAAAGCTACACTGGCAAGACAGAACAAACCAAGACAGAACAGATACTAAATGTATAGTCATTAACAAAACTCCAGTGCCTAAAAAAAATAAATGGGTTTTTAAATTTGACTTAAAAATGTCTATTGTGGGGGGAATTTCTACATGAAAAGCAGAAGACCAGAGTCTTGGGGCAGCTACAGAAAAGGCCCGGTTGCCTTTGAGCTTCATCTGAGAGCATGAAATGGCTGGAATATGGCTATTATTGTTGTTATTGTTGTTGTTTGTAATACTATTGTCTCTCTGGTAGGTTGTGTTGTCCAAGATGAAGGAACATACAGGGAGTTGCTCCAAATACCAAGACTACATCCAAGAAGGTCTGAAGAACGTTGCGAAGAACCAGCCTAAAGTACTCAGGTGATTGCCACACTGGATCTACACTGACGTCTGCACTGGTGTGTGTGATTGTGAACGCTCCATGTTAACTGAATTGAGGCCTGACTGTCTCATCTCCTTGTCCTTCAGTAGCTCAGTGCCGAACCGCTACACATTCAGCTGCCCTTACTGCAGTCGGCCGAACTTTGACCAAGACGGCCTAGTGGAGCACTGCACTTCCCAGCATGCCCGGGACCCACGCCCAGTGGTGAGCGTTTTGTTTTAGATTGTATTAAAAGCTTGATAATTAAAAGGGGAGAAGAACACAAGTAAATCTTAAATTTGAGTGACAGTTTTGTAAAAATTAGTGCTGTTGTGGTGGCAAATTTTCAACATTACAGTGTTTTAGAACCTTACAGCTGCTATATGCTGCTTCTGTCATGAAATAGGCTCTTTCATTAATAGATTAAAACTATGACCAGTGAGACAATAAAACATTGTTTGATGTACTGGGACCATGAGTGACATTTGAGGCTCATGTCGGGTAGGGGGGGGTCAAAGCATCTTGGTTAACTATATATGTGGGTCTACATCAGTAAAAGAAAACAGCCTATATATAAAATAACCAACATTACTCTGAAGTTAAAACCTATATTTAGCAATAAACCTATATTTATCAGAGTAAATGATGTCCTGTCTAAGTAAAGTGCAAGACGGCGCCCACCGGGCAATGCAGTGTTTTTGTCTGTTCAGTATTTAGCACTGGTATGTCAGATGGTCTGATTTACATGTTTCTCATGTAAATTTTCAATGGATGCAAGCAGGCAAAGTTCCTTTTGTATGATGCGCTGCTCATTGAAAAGGTTACCTATATTTACTAGGCTATTGCCCAGATCTGACACTTTAAAAGTGCTAAAACTTTGATCGAAGCTGATTTCTTCTGTTGCATAGTGCTGAAGAGGGACAGCTCTGCCCTCGTTTCCTTTTTGGAAAATCCATAGCAACGACAAACAAACGGCAGGTCCGTTTCAGCGTGTTTTCTAGAACCGAGAATATTGTTCAGTGCGATTATGCTTTCCACATCATTTTCCTGAAACCAATCATGGATTTCAGCTGAAGGGCTGCATTCAAGCCAGTCATATATTTCAGGCCATAATTAAAGTGAGCTAACAAACATTTTGGGGGTGGGGCAAATGACCACCTTTGGCCCAGCACCCACCCCCCACAAATGCCACTCTGACTGGGACTATTTGTTCTAAAACCTGCTGGGGAAGTGTCTAAGAACGACGCTGTACAGAGCTCTAAAAGGTAGAAGAGTGAGCTTCCCTTTCAGTCACGGGCAGTAGTGTGCAAATGCTTGTGTGAGAGAGAGCCTGTGATTGCACAACAACAGGCAGTCGTGGGCTGGAGGTGAGGGAACCAGCCTTGTGACCGGAAGGTCACCGGTTGGATCCCCTAAGCTGACAGGACGTGACTGAAGTGCCCTTGAGCAAGGCACCTAACCCCCAACTGCTCCCCGGTTGCTGTAGATAAGACTGCCTACCTCTCTGGACAAGTGTGCTCACTGCCCCCTAGTGTGTGTGCATTCACTAGTGTGTGTGTGGGTTTCACTGCACAGATGGGTTAAATGCAGTGGTGAATTTTCCCCACTGTGAATTTAATAAAGGGTAACTTAACAAAATGTTCCCTTGTGCCACAGATCACATACAGCACAGCGTAATCACCTGTTTAGTATTTAACAGTGCTACAAGATGCAGCTCTGTGCTGACATAGCCGAAATGCTAACAGCTAATCATCACGGCTACAGATTAATAACTCACTACAACCGTGACTAAACCACACCTGTGAAAGTGAAACTAATGTGAGTTCACAGCGGATAAGGATCATTTAGGCACTAAAGACAGTAAATGATAAATCATTCACGTACACAACAACAGGCAATAAACCTGAGGAGTGAACTTCACTCTGTGCTCACTTTCTCCTAAACATGCAAAGCACAGAAGGAACCAGAGTGACTCCATACTGGACCGCAGCCCTTTATGCAAATAATAATCAATGAAGAGCTAAACTATTAATAACTTTTAGCAATAATAACATTATTTAAAGAGCACTTACTTTATGGAAGGTGTTTGCAGACACCCCGTGACCCAGAAGGATAAGCGGCTTAGAAGATGTGTGCGTGTGTGTGTGTGTGTGTGTGTGTGTGTGTGTGTGTGTGTGTGTGTTTGCAGATGGCCAGTATCTGCAGATCTAAGATCACATACTGGAATGCAAACAGACAGGCATTCTATGACGTGCACAGGTGCTTCCAGGCCATTTGGGGCTTAAAAAACTAGCAAAAGAATGTTAAAATCTAACCTAAAGGATAAAGGGAGCCTGTGCAGTTCTTGTTAGGATCCACGCTGCTGCATTTTTACAGATGATTTATTGTTTACTCCAGCAAAAACAGCATTACAGTAATCAACTCTGTGTTGCTCTGAGGTAGAAAAGACTGAACCTAACTTTGACCTGCAGGATGTCAAACCTCCCTAATTCGACATTTCACGCAGATTGAAAGCCCAACTTTTGCTTAAAAATAAAAGCTGCTTAAGTGAAAGCAGAGTAAATGATATTCTTTGTAGTTTTTGAAGCCCCATACACAGAAACTGAGCGCAGTACATTCAGATGCTTAAGACAGAGTTCTACATAATTAATAAACGAAAACACCTACAGACATGAGTCAGTTAATGACTTGATATCAGTGTTTTCAAAAAGCTGCATTTTGTAATTCAGAAAGTAACCAAGTCCTCATAGACAGAGTATATAGCGCCGTTAAATCCATGAATAAAAACTGAACAGAGTAAACTACGGTGGGAGAGAGAATCAGGCATAACACACACACACACACACACACATACACATTTTCTAAGCCACTTATCCTTCTGGGTCACAGGTGGAGCTGAGGCCTATCCCAGCTGCCATTGGGCAGAAGGCAGGAAACACCCTGGACAGGTTCAGGCATAACAGTATAGGCCAATTTATTGTCCATGTGTCAAGCATTACTTGACAAAAAAATGACGTAATTTGTGTCTGCTAGAGTGTCGCAGACCTTGTTGCGTACATCGAAAATTTGAGAGGGTGCAGATGCTGTCAAGTACTCTGATTGGATCGAAACTCAAAATTCTACGTTCTGGACTGTTGCCATGGTCATCGTGTGCCACTGTGTTTTCTTACTTGCTGCTTCGCTGCTTTCAAAAACAGAACAGGTTGCCAGCTAGTCAGAGCTAGGATCAATATACATTTATATGATGATTTGTTTTCATTTTCAAACATTTTTCCGCGACTGCGATTATTATAAAAAGTGGTCCAAGCAGAAAAACGCACCCCATGACGGTGTAATTTCCCTCTACACACTGCACTTTCAGACTAACCAGAATTTTTGGGGAAACTGCGAATCTGGCAACCCTGCGGGACAGAAAAAGAGCTTGTGAGTGAAACGCAATACGGAACACAAGTTTTCCTGTAGCAGCTTTTAATCAGCTGCGTTGTCATACAAGTTTTCACAGAAATTACAAATGATGTTCTGTTCTGTTGTTGTGTTGCTGGCTGGGACTATGAAAGCCTACAGCATTGCGACATCTGTCGACTACAGTATTTTTTTCGTGGAGCGACACGTCACCTAGACTATACATGGCCTGAGGACATGTGGCTTAGTGCCTGAGAAACCCAGTCTAGCTCTACCAGTTGCGTGAGGGATTTCTGTTTATTATTGTATTATGTTGTTATAATATTATTATATACACCGATCAGGCATAACATTATGACCACCTCCTTGTTTCTACGCTCATTGTCCATTTTATCAGCTCCACTTACTATATAGGAGCACTTTGTAGTTCTACAATTACAGACTGTAGTCCATCTGTTTCTCTGCATACTTTGTTAGCCCCCTTTTACTCTGTTCTTCAGGGGTCAGGACCCCCATGGATCCTCACAGAGCAGGTACTATTTGGGTGGTGGATCATTCTCAGCACTGCGGTAACACTGATGTAGTGGTGGTGTGTTAGTGTGTGTTGCGCTGGTCTCAGTGGATCAGACACAGCAGTGCTGCTGGAGTTTTTAAACACCTCAATGTCGCTGCTGGACTGAGAATAGTCCACCAACCAAAAATATGTGGGCTGCGTCCTGTGACCACTGATGAAGGACTAGAGGATGACCATCACAAACTGTGCAGCAGCAGATGAGCTACCGTCTCTGACTTTACATCTACAAGGTGGACTGACAAGGTGGGAGTGTCTAATAGAGTGGACAGTGAGTGGACACAGTGTTTAAAAACTCCAGCAGCACTGCTGTGTCTGATCCACTCATACCAGCACAACACACACTAACACACCACCACCACGTCAGTGTTACTGCAGTGCTGAGAATGATCCACCACCCAAATAGTACCTGCTCTGTGAGGATCCCATGGGGGTCCTGACCACTGAAGAACTGGGTAAAAGGGGGCTAACAAAGTATGCAGAGAAACAGATGGACTACAGTCTGTAACTGTAGAACTACAAAGTGCACCTATATAGTAGGTGGAGCTGATAAAATGGACAATGAGCGTAGAAACAATGTTATGCTTGATCGATGTATAATATTGGTGATGGTATCAGAAGGGAAAAAGTGATATCGGTCCATCCCTAATCAATACAGCTGTCACTGATACGCATTTCAACAAAAGCTTATTCATGATATACTGCCATATCAATATTTTAAACACAGCTCCAGTGTGATACCCTCTAGACAAAGAACAGTCAGAAGAGATGAAGAGATGTGTCCTTTCAAGTCTTGTATGTTCTATTATTTCCTTGGAGGAGAAAAAGGAATGTGGTAATTGTTTCTATATATGTCTGCAGGTGTGTCCTATCTGTGCCTCCATGCCCTGGGGAGACCCGAACTACAAAAGCACAGACTTCTTTCAGCATATCCGAATAAGACACGGCTTCTCTTATGACACATTTGTGGTAAGTAAGCACAAGGATACACTTCCTTAGCCCAGACAGTGGCTAAACACTGTTTTACTGCACTACCACACAGTGCACTGAAACAAAAGGAGGAATTGAACTGACTTGATTCTAAAGTGTGTATAATTTCCACATTATTATAAAATATATTACATTATCACAGTTCTTGCCAAAAGAAAACTTTGATGTAATATACAGTGTGGAGACTCCGCGCACATTCTGCTGAAAATCAAAAGAAAAGTTCTTGTTTTATATAATTTGCAGTTTTATTTGTTCCCAAGGTAGCACTATAATAATTATTTACATAAGTGAATTTGCTTTCCTGTAAATAAAACCTAGTTTAGGCTTTAATGTGTTCAATTATTTCAAAGGGACAAAACACATACTCATTTGTATTAATCCACCAAGCTTTGGACGTGCAGTTTCTTCTTACGTCAGTCCAGAAGTAAGTCCATTTCTTATGTCAGTCCATACCTGTGACTACAGTGAGATTTGACTTCCTGAGAGTTCAGGTGGTGGAAGTAGAGCTTACTGGCTGATGTTATCGCTCCCTTTTCATGCAGGTAAACATGACCAGATTGTTGGCAGCATTCTTAAGTAGGGTGGATATATGGCATATGCTTTCGCTTCCTTGTGCCGTCTGCACAGATGCAGCTGACAGTGCAGTAAGGCCAACAGACTCTGATCAATAAGGTACACTTTAGGTTAATGTAAATGACGCGACAGACAGAGGTCGCTTCAGGTCAAGCTGAAGGGCTGCATGTTCATTGTCCATCAGCTACTGTATTGTAGTATTATAACAGGGCTGCATGGTATGGACTAGAGCTCTCGCTATCAGCTATATTAGGAATATATATATACGTTAACACATCCTCTGCAGTGAACACACTTCTGCTCTTTTATTGCACAATTACTGTTCATTTCCTGAAATTAACATATTGGAGGAAAAAAAATAAATTCTAGCCTCCACATTTTATATTTTTATGTTCATTTTTCTTCTAATTTGTTCAACGTATCAAATAAATAGAAATTGTGCACTTGCCATATTTAAGTTTATTTACTTTAGAAATCAGCAAAACGTCATTTGACTGGGGATATTCAACCTTATGCACACAACTGTACACCGACTGACCCCTTCAGTACACCTACCTTCTACACATCTATACTCTTTTTTCATTTTATCAGCTCCACGTACCATACAGGTGCACTTTGTAGTCTCATTGTGTTTGTCATTCTCAGCACTGCAGTGACACTGATGTGGTGGTGGTGTGTTAGTATGTGTTGTGCGAGTGGATCAGACACAGCAGTGCTGCTGGAGTTTTTAAACACCTCAGTGTCACTGCTGGACTGAGAATAGTCCACCGACCAAAAATATCCAGCCAACAGGGTCCTGTGGGCAGTGTCCTGTGACCACTGATGAAGGACAAGAGGATGACCATCACAAAATGTGCAGCAGCAGATGAGCTATCGTCTCTGACTGTATATCTACAAGGTGGACCAACAAGAGTGCAGTGGACACAGTGTTTAAAAACTCCAGCAGCACTGCTGTGTTTGATCCACTCGCACCAGCACAACACACACTAACACGCCACCACCATGTCAGTGTTACTACAGTGCTGAGAATGATCCACCACCCAGACAATACCTGTATCTACTTCTACTTCTTCAGCTTCGACTTCTCTTCAGGCGCTCTCTGATAGAAAAGAGAATTCGTAGTCGATTCTGTGATTTTCAGTTGGTCAGGCGCTGAGGCAGCAAAGCAGCCCCAAACCATAACATTTCCAACAGGCTACACTAAGTGGTGATCTATGCATGTGCGTAATTGTGGATCGGATTACTTGCAGTGTGCATGTAGGCAGAGATTTTCATAAGATTATTGAGTAGAGTGAGCATAGAAACACCTCTGTCTTAATCTATAATCATAATATATTCAATCGGATAGGTGAAAATCTTGGCATGTAAACACAGCCATTGTTCCAGAAGACCTAGTCCTTACCTGGATATTCATAAGTTAACTTTAGTATTGGCCTGATGTTTTTTTCAGACAGCAAATGTCCTCCTGGCTCACCTTCCATGTTGGTCATTTGTTAAATTATATCAGCTTTGTCTATTAACATTATTTAAATGAATGGATATCTGTATGTCCAAAGATGGCAAAAAAATTCCAAACTCATCACAGGGTCTGATATATATATGTGTGTGTATATATGTGCTAACTTTACAGGAGAAGGAAAAAACTTTATCTACTTTATTTTTAATGTAAGTCAATGGATCCTTGCTAAAAGCAGATTAATTGCTTGAGTGTTTAGTTGGTGGTTATCCCCTTCATGGCTCACTGTATGTATGTATATCTCCTTCATCAGCATTAGAGAGTTTAACAGTGCTCACTGATATAAGGGAGCCTCTGGTGTGGAATTCTTTTCTTTTCTCATTCTTTTTTTCTGTGTATGTGCTCTTCAGGATTACTCTACAGACGAGCAGGCTATGATTGACGAGGCCATTCAGCGCTCTCTCATGGATAAGTGAGCTGGATCGCATGGAGGACGGGCCACGGAGGCAGGCGTGTTAAACGCCACACAGATATCTGGTCGAGTGAAAACATTTGAATGTAGCATGTAATCTATTATGTCTTATTATCTTATTCCAAAATATTATCTATTTAATATTTCATATTTATTTCCAGATGTATTTAACTTATTCTGCGTAATAATATCAAATGAAAACATTTGCGTTGGCAGAAAGTAAAATTATTTGCAGTTAATTTCACTTGATATTATTACTTAAAATAGGTGCAAAATACGTCTAGAAACAAGCAATATATTAAGACAATCAGATTATTAAATATATTTCTAAATATTTATTTGTATAAGTAATCATATTAAGATTATCACTGTAAGATTCTCTTTTGTTTCATTCAAGTATAAATAATGCAAAACTGCCAGATAACTTCACTCAGTATCACTACTTGAATATGTATGAAACCTCGCGAAGTTTCTAAGTCTGTATCGTGATCACAGCAACCACATAATAAGAAATATTAGATATATCACTTAAATTCACAATATTTTCACTCAACCAGATTCAGTGGAAGTCGGGGATTTCCTCCCCTAAAATCTATAAAACAAAAATAAATAAATAAATAAAGTTAAAGCATAAAGAAGCAACAGTAAGTTTCAGGGCTATTTCACTCCATTATCACAAGTACTTTGCCTTTAATATATTTAACCAAAGCAGCGTGTGTGAAAAATATGAAACAGCTAGCAAATACTGTAGAAATAAAAAAAGATCTAGGTTTAAAAAGATAAGATATTGTGTTGATGTATGGAGTGCGAAGTAGTCCGTTCTGTCTGTAAATGCATAAAATCAGACACTTCTATAACCATATTTCCTCTCACTCCTATATAAACTGTCTATAAGGGGAATTCCACCCGGATTTTTCAAATATTTATGCTAATTAAAGGGATGAGTTGTAAACAAAGTCATTCAGAGCAGTTAGATGTGAAACGCTCCGTTCTAGAGAAACTCAAAGAATGTAGAACTGTTCACACTGGTGGTGACAGGAACCAGACGTCTGACTTTAAAGCCTCACAGAAAGTTATTACACAAAACGGTAATGAATACGCTGCCTGACATTGTTTTACACTATTACATTATTTATCACTGTACCATCATCAACATCACACAGAAAACCTCGGAAGACACGTGTAGTGGTTTTGAAAAGTAAATAAAATAGCTGTATTTGTGATCAAAGGGTTCCTATCACCACCACTGCAAAGAAGCCTGAATCAGTAAGTTTCTCTATAATGAATCATTTCATTAAAATCAAACTACTCTGAATGGCGGTTCACATCTCACCCACTGACTTTTGAAAACATTGGTGGAGTTTCCCTTTGAATTTTCAAACTTGGTGTTGTTAGCGCTTCCTAACTTTATGATCTGGTGAAAATACTGGGTTGTTTAAAGTCCCAATCAGAAATCAGTCAGAAATTGCAGCAGCTGGTTTTATTGCATGTGCAGCTAATGGTTTTCAGATAACAACAAATAAACTGGTGGTGTTTGGTAAACTGATATAAAAGTGAACATACAAAATAAATATGTGTCCCATGATACTATGCTTAAAAACAGTGAAGGGCAAACAGTGACCCCACTCCCAGTACGAATGAAAATCCACTCCAGCAGATTGATCCTGTCATGTCTGACAAAGTTTAGTATAACAAAAAAAAAGGCAGCTGAGATCTGATTGGTTTAAAGAGCGGAAATATTATTTAATTATAGTTTGGATAACTATTGTCGCTGTAAAAAAATAAAAAAATCATTTCGTATGAAAGTTTCTGGGCCAGTAAATTGGACCATTAGAAATGCTCCAAAATTGCTTGGAGTAAAATCGTTTTACATGACTTACATTAAAAGTTAGTGTTTTTTCCCTCTGTAAAGTTAGTTTTGGAGATACTAGTTTTTCTTTGGACAGTAATAATATACAACAGCATTTATTGTATTATTATTATTAGTAGTATTACTTGTTTGATTCCATGTAATTTTCATACATTAATTTACAGTCACATTGTCTTATTTACAGTTGTTTGCAAAAGTTTGGACACATTATGAGAACAAGTTAAAACATCCTCTGCAGTGAACACAATTCTACACATTTTAATGCACAATTGTATGTATATTTGCTGAATTTCTTTTTCAATATGATAAACTCCTCAAATAAATAGAAAGAAAACTTGCAGAAAAATGCATATTTTTATATCTGTAGAGGATGTATTAACGTATTTTCACTTCAGCAAAAAAAATCAGCAAAAGGTACTTTGACTGGGGGTATTCAAGCATTTGCATGCAACTGTATTGTTTTGTTGTGCCATTTGACCAAAGTTTGATCGATTTGAAACATTTCATCTTCTGTGCTCAGAGCAAAGAAACCATAGGAATAAAGCATTTGGGATGTGGACATTAAAGGAACAAATCATTTAATAAACTGGATGAAAAGTTCTCAATTTCTATTTTCAACTCCGGTTGAAAATAGGCTCCCATTTTATAATGTTATATTGTTATTGTCTTGTTAGCACACAGAGGTTCTTCAGTAAAGAGAATGGTTCTATTCAGAACCATGAATAGTATACAGAACAGTTTCATGCCTAAATGGTTCTTTGCATGGTGAAATGGTTCTTCAGATTGATGGAGCATGTGTTGCATATGGTTCTATACAAAATCTCTATTTGAAAATGGTTCTATGTAGCCCCAAAAAGGCTTATGTCGTCTCAATTTTTGGTGCTTTGTTGAACCATTTTCAAACCAAACTTCTCTGTCAATATAACCATGCAAAGACCAACCATACATTTCACCGTGTGAAGAACCATTTAAGCATGCAGATGGTTCTATGTAGATGTCATGGTTCTAACAAGAACCATCTTTTTTTTTAGAGTGCATGATATAAATTTCAGTACATGTCACTGTCCCTTAAAACAGACTGGCTAAAATGCACACTGTGAGATTGAATTGCTGTCTATCTGTTATAAAGGCCCAGCTGTTCTGATGTTCTAGTGATTTCTGATTGAGGCCTTTAAACTGAATTATGTAATAATTATAACAAATAATGCACATAATGAAAAATGCATTTTCTCTCCAGTGATGGCCTTTTGATCATTGACCACTTTTTTGTATATATGCTGTTCACTCATCCACTCATCCACTCATATCTGCATCTGTTTCTACATCCACTTTATCTCTTCCTAGTCATCAGTAGTCTGAGACGGTCATGATGCAGCCACTGTTTGTTTCTCTGACTCCTTCTACCACTCTGCCTTTATCTGAAGCATAAAGTGATCAGAAAGTCGGCTCACAACTACGTCAGTTTGTGTGCTTTTTTAGAAACCTGCGTTCGCTGTGTGAGAATTAATCTGCTTTTCTTGAAACAGAATGAAGAAGAAAGATAGAAAATGCTAGAGGACATAAAAACAATAATTCAAATCAATAATCCATTAGTGCTACTCATTTATATCTCTTTATGGACACCTTTATGCATAGAAGGGCTGTGCTTTTGCTTTTGAATTCAAATTCTGACCACTAGGGGTCAGTGTTGCTCCGTCTGTTCATTGTTATGTCTTGCATTGTACCTAAACTTGAGCTGGTTGCTCCTGATGCAGCTGTTAAACGAACTGCTGTTGACTGCTTTAGGAATCAGGATACATCGTGTTCGCCTTTTTCGCTCATGATTTAGTTGATAAAAAGCACCACACTGAGCATCACTCTTGGAAATAAAGGTTTCTAAAATGGTTCTTGGCTTTATTTTTTAGTAACTGATTTGGGACCTTTATCATGTGGGGGTTCTCAGGGTTCTCCACCCTCATATATTGCATTACAAAAGAAATATTCAGCAGTGGATCATGCTGTGACATTCCTCCAAGCGCTTCTTGTTTTGGCACACTCGTTTTTACCACTTATAAAAGAGAATAAAAGACGTTTTGGTGCCAGAAGAAAAGGGGGTCGGTTGTAATAACAGATTAAATGTGACAAAACTAATTAGGATGTAACTGGCAAATGTACTTATTGTGAGACGTGGCTTTATGATTAGATACCAACAGACCTAGAGCTGAAAAAAGGGGAATTCAACTGATTTTTCAAAATTTCTGCTAATTCTGGTTTGATGTGAAATGGTTGATTTGTAAAGATTTATTTTTTTTTTTTTTACAGTGGTGGTTATAGGAACCAGGGGTCACCATGACTACAACACAAATATAGCCATTTTATTTGCTGTTTGATAGCACCAGTGAACCTGCAAGTGTCTTCTGAGTGATTATATATAATGTTGGTAATGGTAAAATAGTGGTAACTTTGAAAAAATGCATTTTCTGTAGGGACTATTTTGCCTCACAACTCCCTGCATGCAGCTCTGGCTCACAAAAAAAAATGTGTTTTGGGCCAAAACCTTTTCAGAACTACCATAAAATAACATCTCGGGCATCAGGCAGTGCATTCATAACTTTTTCATGTAATAACATTCTGTGAGGAAACCTTTAGAGGTGGACGTCTGGTTCCTATCACCACTACTGTGAACAATTATGACTCGGGTAAGTTTCTCCAGAACCATATTAGACCACTCTGGGTGACTTACATCTGCACCATTTAATTATGCAGAAATTTTGAAAAATCAGTGACGTTCCCCTTAAGAGATATGTCTGCACTAAATGATACCAGTAAATGATGTAATGTCTATTAGAGATGCTACATTTCCCAGTTTGACAAGCACAGTATGAAACCCAATGATAATCAAACAGTTTCACATGCAAATATTTACAATAATCATACGGCTACAGTCTCCCTGCAGAGCACCAGAACAAGACATATTGACATGTAACCTGAACAGTAAACAGTGCAGGTGATCATTATCAGGTTTATTTCAATTATAGTTGATTTTTTGGTATTGTAAAGAAATATGAGAAGTCCAGTAAAAGCTCTAGCAATACCTGTGGTGAAATGATGATAGTGTGGTCAGCTAAAAAGCCCCTCATTACCTCATTAGTGCTTTTAAAACATTTCAAATTCACTGATATTGTGATAAGACATTTTTATACTGTCCTACCTCTAGTAAGCAAAAAGTCTGTTTGGCGCCTATCAAAATGATTTGTCCTCTTTAAAGGGCACTGACTTTGCCTGGCCTGCACATTGTTTAGGCAAATTGTATACAATTGTATATAAACTTTTGCACAGGCCTCATTTTATGTTTTTTTTATTTTTTTTATTTTTTTTTATTTTTTTACAATATGTTAGATCTAGCAAATAAACGGTAATTGTGCATTTAAATGTGTAGAAGTGTGTAGAGGATGTTTTAAAAGGGAATTCCACCAATTCTTCAAAACATTTCTATAATTAGAGGTAAACAAAGTCATTCAGAGTGGTTTGGTATGAAGCGCTCTGTTCTAGAGAAACTTACAGAGTCAGAATTGTTCACAGTGGTGGTGATAGGAACCATACGTACACCTCTAAAAGCTCCCTCACAGAAAGCTATTACATGAAATGGTTATGAATATACTGCCTGATACCTGAGACATTGTTTTACAATAATTTTGAGAGTAATTCCTTTTTTTTTTTTAATGTAAGGTGTTGTGAGGCAATATAGTCCCCAATGGAAACCTAATTTTTCAGATTTTAGCTATTTTACTATTATAAACATTACAATAAAAAATCAGAAGATATATAGGTTTTATAGTCACTTTGGATAATAAATAAAATGTCTATATTTGCATTGTAGACATTGTGACCTCTGGTTCCTATCAACACTGTTGTAAAAAATCCAATTTTTTTAGCATTTCATAGAAAACCACAAAGAATGACTTTGTTTACATCACAAAGTCAGAATTATGCAGAAAATGTGAAAACTTGGTGGAATTCCCCTTTAACGTATTTCAATTCAGAAAATCAACAAAACATGGAATTTGAACAGGGCATCTAAACATTTGCATATGACCATATAGATGCACCAATTTCTAACCCACTCCGAACCTCCACTCCGGTTTGATTTTTATCTTGCTCCATCGCTCTCATCTATCTTGTTTTCTTTACAGCGGAAACCTGCTTTCTCTCTCTCTCTCTTTTTACCTCCATCACTCTCTCTCTCTCTCTCTCTCTCTCTCTCTCTCTCTCTCTCTCTCCCTCTCTTTCTCCCTCCCTGCTGCTGTTTGTCATTTTCTCTCTTTGCAGCCTGTCAGGTCTGATGGCTAAAGGTGCTAAATCCTGATAAATTAAAGCTGTTTAATTATTTAAACACTGGACCCTGAAATCAGTCTGAGTGATTTATACCTCCATATGGGATGCTGGAAGGGGGAGGAAGAAAAACCCTCTATATGTGGTTACTGGAGAGACTTCACACATGGAGCATTGATATCTAACATACAATGTCAGAATCAGCACTTAAAGGGCCCATATCATGGACATTTTTCTTGAAAACAAAAGTTTGATGTGGTATGTAAACATAGGGATATATATGGAATATATGGAAACTAAGCTACAAAACAACCCATTTTTGAATTCCCTTTTTTGTGATGTCATAAACACCAACACATTTACATTTGTTCACATACAGCAATCTAGCCCCACTCATTCACACTCAGGTTATAAGGAGTGTTTCAGTCTGTGCTGTGGCACAATACAGGATAGCCAATCAGATTAGAGCTTGTTTACATATAGCAGTCTTATAGGTAACAAAAACAGCTTGCTTAAAGGGGAACTACCAATTTTTCAAAATTTCTCCATAATTAAATGGTATGATGTAGACAAAGCCATTCAGAGTGGTTTGGTGTGAAATTCTCCATTCTAGAGAAACAGAATGTTGTCAGAATTGTTCAGAGTGGTGGTGATAGGAACCCGGCGTCTACCTCTAAAAGCTCCCTCGCAGAATGTTACTGCATGAAATGGCTATGAAAACACTGCCTGATATCTGAGACATTGTTTCATGGTAGTTTAAGACAAAGTTTTGGCCTAAATTATATTTTAGTCTGTTTATCTGAATCCATTCACGGCGGAGGGATACATGAAGGGTGCCACATTTTATCAGAGTTATGACTATTTAACTATTTTCAACATTACATATAAAAACTCAGAAGACACGTGTAGGTTCACTGGTGGTTTTAGATAGTAAATAAAACAGCTATATTTGTGCTGTAGACATTGTGACCCCTGGTTCCTTTCACCACCACTGTTAAGAAATCGGCATCTCTACAAGTGAACCATTTCACATCAAAGCACTCTGTGTGACTGTTTACCTCTCAATCACTGAATTATGCTGAAGTTTTGAAAAATCAGTGGAGTTCCCTGTTAATTTGGATAAAAAGAGCTTGAAAACAAAAATGAATTATGGCTATTTGTGTTACATAAAACCACCCAAAAACACCCAAAGTGGAGCTCAGGGGAAGGAATACAAGACAAATGAAGGATATGGGCCCTTTAAATGTCAGTTAGCTAAAAGGAGTAGTTCAGTGAAAAAACTAATTTACACAATTTGCACAACAGAACCAGAAAGGAGCTAAGAATGAATAAAAATGAATAAAATGATATTGCATAGCTACAATGAAAGCTAGCAGCTGTCTCAATCTGAATTTTGCCCATGTTTATAGACAACAGTCATACAGTGTCAGAAACCACATAAGCCAGTTTATTAGATTACTGAACAACTTCATACAGTTTGAGTGAAGTATGTGATGATTTATGCATGCAGTTAGCACCATGCTAACCTAGCAGCTATAAGCCTCCATTATTTGCTAGCTACATTAGCTCCACTGCAAAACTAAAGAAGCAAATTTCAGACACAAAACAGGCCTCATCTGTTTGACTGCATTTGATGGTGAGGGGAAAATATCACTGAGAAGATCCTGTTAAAGTCTCAGTAAAAATAATACACTTCAATATTGTCTGTACTGTGTACATGAACTTGCATAGTGCATGCACACACACACTTTCTATGCCACTTATGCTCCTGGGTTATTTGGGGGGGTGCTGAAGCATATCCTAGAGGTCATTGGGCAGAGGCCATGAAACATTCTGGACAGGTCACCAGTTCATCACAGGGCCCACACAGACATATACATTCACCCACAGAGACACGCTGACTGTATCTCTTTGGACTGTGGGAGAAAACCCACACAAACACAGGGAGAACAGGCAAACTCCACACAGAAAGGACCCTGGTTGCCCGTTCCAGGAATCAAAAAGCAGACCTTTTTCTGTGAGGCAAGAGCGCTACCCACTGCACCACGAGATTAGATCACAGTGTGTAGCTATAGAATGTGCCACAAAATCAAACGTACTTGACAACAGAGAATGGTAATAAAAATTATTACAGTAAATGTTTATGTATAAGCTGATATCAGAGACATTGTTTATGATAGTTTTGAGATGAGATGGAGTGGTACACACAGAGTTCGTATCGACTATATTTGTGTTGTAGACATGGTGACCCCTGGTTCCTATCACCACCACTGTGAAGAATTTTGGAAAAATAGCGGAATTCCCCTTCAAACAGTAGAAGTTTACTTGAGTAGCATCATGCAATCGGCATGCTTAAATCATCACATACTTGCCTCAGACTGTGTGGAGTTGTTAAATAATCTCTAATTGACTTGTTTGTGTGGTTTCTGTCACTGTTGTAAACATGATCTTTACTTTTCACGATTTTTGAAGATAACAGTGTCAGAATCCACTATCGCTTGAAGTCTTTAGAGCTTGTTCTAATTTGAGAGACTACCCTTCAAGGATATTATGCTTTTTTCCCTCTTTTCCTTT